GCTAGGTGGGATAAGGGTTGTAATACAGAGTGCATTTAAATTGACTCCTTTTTATAACGTACGTTAACTTTGACAGTATTGAATGTTGATTAATATACCCCTTTCTACCTTTTCTTGTAAAAAAATAAGGAAATATTTGTATCATTTTAATTTAATATATTAATTTGTCAAATTATATTGTAGTGAATTAAATAAAAGATTTTTTTTAATCATCAATTATTTTCAGAGATTTTGTATGTAATTCAATAAAATGGATCATATATTGAGTATACTTATTTTTTTATGATTTTAGAATAAAAAATTAGTATAATATCCTAGATATTGGTCGGTCAAAATTAATTAATTGTGAATATTGTATGACTTTTTGTGAGTTGGAAAAGAATATTCGGCAATAATGTATAAAACTGGATCTAGATGCTGGGTGTTTTCATTCGGATAATAAGAGTGCGTAATGTCAAGAAAGACCACTTACATCACATTCACCTAAAGCTTTCCTGTCACTTTCAATAGTTGTTACATCAAACGGGTGAATAAGTCACCATAATTAATCAAGTTTAAATAATTGTAGTTATGTCAAGGGACTCTTGTCTCTTACGGTCATATTGTAATGGCTAGTCTAGTACTACGTATAGTTTTTCAATTTCTAAAACTTTTATGGCTTAGAAAATTTTAGTATAAAAAAAAAAAATTGTAGTTGTTTCTAAAAAAAAAAAAAAAAGTGCCAAGGGATGTGAAAAAATTTTAGCCTCTAATTTTATACAATTGTACAATTATGGTTCAAAAGCATTGGCAAGGTGGGTCATTGGTGGTTATGTCATAAGATAAGTTATCGGTTTCTTTATTTATGGCCACGATTTCACATTGATGGTGCCATAATTGATAATTATGTCATCACCAGTTTTAGTTTATATTGGAGTACATTATACAAGTATATACGGAGTATATTTTTAGACAATGAAAAATACAATTAGAAGGTCAATTTATCGCTATGAAATATCGCGAGGATTGTGGGCTATTACAACAATTGATACATATATCAAACTTTACAAACTGTCCAATATTAGTTATTCAATCTGCTGCTCTATTTCCTTCTCTGAAAAATGTGATGCATTGTCTAGTGAGCAAAATTCAATGGACTGCCATGTAGATTATTATATGGAGCATTTTATTATTTTAAGTATAATTTCTGTTAACTATTTCGAAATTTTAATCGGACAGAAATATGATTTAATAAATACTTGTATAATATAATATTAGTCAGTATGACATAATGTAGCATATTGCCAAAATGAGGCCATCTATTCTTATTAATCAGCGATTTTAGACTTTTATTAAGTTATCATTTAATTACAGCAAATTTGACCTACTACAATTCTCTTAAAGTATTATTATTTTTCCGTTTAGGGCGTGTTAGTGATTGTGTTTTGTTTTTATTTGTTTTTTGAAAACAAAAAATCAAAAATCAAAAACAGAAAACTAGAAAATATAATTTCTACTTTTCAGTTGTCAATTTTTAAAATAAACATTATTTTAATACGTTTAATCGATTTTAATTTGTTATATGACAAATATCATATGATTTTGAATTTTTTTTTAAAAAAAAATAACAGAAAACTACTACAATGTCAATCAGGCCATTAGTAATCAAATTATAGTTAAGCTTTCAAAAAAAAATAAAAAAAAATAAAAAACAGAGTTGGGGCATAACCGCACAGGTTAGCCCAAGCCCCAACTAGGCAGATCCATCAAACGTTGATTAGTCATAAATCCGAAGCCCCGAAGGCTCATAACGTACAAAAGAGGTTAGATGTTGTTGATAATCAGGCCCAATACCTTATGTCTTGAAGTGATGGGTTTTTAGTGTCAAACTTATTACACTATGGGGACGTTTGATTCACATAATGAAAACGAAATGAAAAAGAAACAAATAAGAGTGGTTAAACAAATTATTTAACTATTACCTTTTCATTTGTTTGGTTTGACCATGGAAAGAAATCGGTTAAACATTATTTCCTTTGTTCGCGTTTGAAGAGGGTAAGAGTATTTTGTTACCCTAAGTTTTTGAGAGGTAACCATTACTCCTTAAGTAATGGTAATTGTTACCAAGCCTTCTAACCAAACACTCGCAAACAATATCAGTTTAATCGAATCTGTTTCCAATCAAAAAAATACACTAACCAAACATGCTCTAAACTTTTACCTGTCTAGCTGTCTATATGAATTTACTTCAGATTAAGAAATCGGTATATGTACGGAGTAATAATCTAAAATGAATTAATATGATTTTTTTTTTCTTTTTTTTTTATTTTTATTTTTTTATTTATGAAACAAAAATGAATTACTCCGTATTGTTCTTCATGGAGTTGAGAAATCATAAATGGAACTATCAAATTTCTCATTGAAAAAAGCTACTCGTATCAATAGTGGTTTTAATCATCCCACTATTAAAATGATATAAGACTTTGATTAACGGCTCAAATAATCACATGTAGGGTGGTTTTAGACTTCTAATTCAAAGGTGATTTTAACAATTACATAATATCTTATCTTTTTCCATAAAGGCTAATGCTATGGGTTGCATATAAGTTTAAATATACATCCTTTTTTAGTATTAAGTTAGGAATTTATCGACAATTTACGAGTAAATTGTGTAATAAATGTTTATTTATTGTCTATTTTTTTCACTTTTAGCTTCTGATATGCAACCCTAATATCTTTTTCCATAAATAAAATAATAAAAGTACTAACTATGTTGGCCAAGTTTTGTTGAGGATAGTTCTATATATATATATATATATATATATATATATATATATATATATATATATATATATATATATATATATTGTCAAAGATAAGTTTCTAGCACATTGTTTTACGTAGAAGTACTATATCTCTAGTGTTAAATGTCAATGGTGATAAGTTTGGAATTTAAACAATGGTAAATTGATTACTAAATTTCAACATGTATATTGATTTTCACCATGTGCTCTGTACCTTTTCTTTATAACAAATTAAACAGTGGACATTAATTATTATGTCAAAGAAAATCTGGTACAGTAGTCAAAATAAGCACATTGTAGCGATAAATCATGAATGCGTAATTGCATGATTGTGATAATTGATTAATACTCCCAAGTACAATTTGTCAATTTGACATTCCTCGAATATCAAATATTCATGGGTTTACATTCAAAGTATATCAATGTAAATTCAATTACATGGAAACATTAATAGATTTTATAATAAAATTTATAGACAATATGTTTTTTTTTTATTTTTTTTATTTATTTTAATAGACAATATGTCATATACTCGTTAAGTGACTTTAATTAAAATTTTAAAATTATATGCAGTAATAATGGTCATAGATTAAAAAAAAGATCTGATGAAATCTTAAAGAATATGGCAAGATAAAATTGAATTGATCAATAATATCGATTCCTTGATTCCTTCAAGGCGGATGAGGCCTGGGGGGGTTTGTCAAAGAAGTGAGGTTTGGACTAAGTTCAGGTTTAACCTAAGCATGGGCCATGTTGACCAAGCCCTGTCAATTCTTTTGTGACTAAAACTGAAATCTAATCAATAATTTGCTCACGGCCTGGTATAAAGATCTAATGAGTCATAATGACTCATTTTGCAGGCGGTAATAAATGACGATAATGAGATTGAACTTCAATTGTTATTTGAGATTTTGAAAACGAAACTATAAGTCTTTGGTAATAAACCACATACATCTTTGGCAAAACTTGTGTTTTTTTTATTAAAAGGATAGCTATTACTCTATAAGATTTTAATTCTTTTTTCATTTAAAACATACTCCGTAAAACAATGACATTATATCAAATTATTGCGAGTAGATAAGTTCTTATGTTTCATTTTAAAGGTCACTACGAGAGTACTACGTCTTTGGTCGCATTTGCCTTATGAAGTTGTGAGTGTTAAGGACTGAGCTTGTAGTGGTGACGACTATATTTAGAATGGTGTATCGCTTGGGGCACAAGTATATCAGACGATGGTGCTTCCTGTAAATTTCTTGTCTTTGATTATGTAGCAAAAGTGACCTAAGATTAAATGTTAATTAATGCATTTTTAAGGTTCAATTCAAAGTCACGCACAATAAGACGACACTTGATGACAAAAAAGCATAGGATTATCATCGTGCCTTACGAAAATGATTTCTCCTAATTAATATTTTGACCGGCCAAGTGCATGCATCCAAGCAAATGCACAGGAGAATTGATTAAAGCAGATGCCTAATCCCCTTGACTATGACAATAATGTACTCCGTAATAATTAACTAATCGGAGCTAATTCTAAGTTTCTTATGTAAGATTACTATCCTTAATTATAGAGATTAACTAGTTTTAGTCAAAGATGCTTATTTTTAATTATCAACAATGTACGTATAAGGTATCACCTATTAATGTATGTTGATTCACATGGCTAATCTACCCTACCGCCCCTACGAGAAGAGTAACTATGTTACTATATGTAATTATCTAAATACCGAAATTAGACCCTGTTCACTTCACATTACAAAAATAATATTAAGTAAAAATAATTTCAGTTCTGTAAAAATAAGTTCAGTTCAATAAAAATAATTTCAATTCAGTAAAATTCAGTAACTATAAAGAAGAGATATAATAAAAAAATCAATAAAAATAATTTCAGTTCAGCAAAAATAGTTTTAGTTCAGAAAAATTAATTTCAATTCAGCAAAAATAATTTAAATTCAGCAAAAATAATTTCAGTTCAGCAAAAATAAAGTGAATTGAACGGGGCCTTAGTCCTCTTCCTATTGTAATAAATGAGTATAGCCTATGTAACGTATGTTACGAGATAACTACCTGGATTTGAGTTTAGTAACTATCTCTTGTACTCCGTAGTATATATAGCTTGCTATCTCGAAATAGGTAGACCTGTGTTGAATTTTGGTTCTATAGAACACCACTTTTTCTTTTAAAATTAAAACTCTCTATCCCTTTTTATACTTCACAACAAAACATAAATATAAAAAAGAATCGTATGTAGATATCTTAATCAACCACTAATACGGTACTCCATACGATCTTTGATATCCATTATCCATACCAGTCTACTAATCATGCCATTGCCAACCCCGCAAAATTAAAATCAAATCAAAGGGAGATGGACAAGTTTGTCACTAACTAATAACAAAAGGAGTAGGGGTCAAAACGATAGATAAGGTGGAGTGGAACCAAAGTGGAAGATTGTGCTCGTGAAATCAACAGGAAGACTCAGAAGACCCACCCCTTTTCATATCATATCTTTCCCTTTCTTCCGTTCTTCTTTGAACTTTCCTAATCACAAAGGCGGGCTAAGGGCGACTCACCCCTTAATTAAATCTTCCATTTTTAAATCTTAACTTGATTTTCATAATTTATCTTTCTATCATCTTCCTCCTTTCTATCTGTTGAGGTAATCTTTGTCTCTTTCCTCTTTGCTTTTATTATCTTTATTGTTGTTTTCCATAACCAATTTGAGTTTATTTTATTCATTTTCCACCATTTTATACTTTAATCTGAACTGGGTATTAGCTATATATGCTGATTGTTTGAGAAAGTTAGTATCTTGAATTGGGTTTTTTGTCTCGGATGTTCTTTTATGGGTTAGGGTTTTGGAATCTGTCCTGTTTCTTTTGATTATTGATTGATTTAGGATTATTTTGATTTTAATTTTTCAAGCAAGAAGAATTTTTATGGGTTCTCAATATGGGGAATTTTCTGATAGTTTTGTTAATGAAATTGGTAACCAACCTGTTAATGGAATGATGTCCCGTGGATATGATGAATCTCTAAACTATGCCAATTTGTTCAATTACAAAGACCCTTCTCAAGACCTATCTTCCTTGAACCTCCCAAGCCCTTTAGCTAACCCAGATGCACTCAACTTGAGCTTGTTTTCGGGGGCGAGCCAAGGGGGGGTTGAATTATCGGATGATAGTGATTCGGATGATGTTCTTAAGTACATTAGCCAGATGCTTATGGAAGAGGACATGGAGCAGAAACCCTGTATGTTCCATGATCCTTTAGCCCTTCAAGCTACTGAAAAACCTTTTTATGATGCATTGGGTCAGAAATACCCCCCTTCCCCTAATCAACACCCTCTCATTGATCATGGTGTGGATAGCCCGGATGACCGGCCTTGGAGCTCATCTAGTGATTCTAGTGGCAGCACTTGTAGTTCTAGTTCAAATTCAACCAATTATGTGGAAACAACTATGGTTACTGATTTGAGTGATCATAGTAAGCCTTTGGTAATTCAATCTCATCCGATTAGATCATATTCCCAGCCATCAACTCTTTCTCAGTGGTCATTTGGATCATCGAGTTCCTTTGGTGGAAGCACTTCTAATGGTTCAACATTGTCCGCTTTTGGTTTGCCAATAGATATGAATTTCTTTAGTGAGAAAGAATCCATAATTCAGTTTCAGAAGGGGATGGAGGAGGCTAGTAAGTTCCTTCCGAAAAACAATAATATTGTCATTGATCTTGACAACATTAACTTTTCTGATGAATCAAGGCATGATGCTTCATTTGTGGTTGTTAAGAAGGAGAAGGATGAAAATTCACCTGATGGATCAAGAACAAGTAAGATTCACTATCGTGAGGATGAGGATCCAGATGAAGGCAGGAGAAGTAGCAAGCAGTCAGCAGTTTCTATAGATGAGGCGGAATTGTCTGAAATGTTTGATAAGGTTTTGCTATGCCATAACCCGGGGCATAATTGTAGCATCAATGAAGACTCTAAGAAGAGCTTACCATCACCGGCTAGCCAACCACAGGGACCAGAGGTAGGGAAGGGTCGTCCTAGGAAACAGGGTAATACAAAGAGTACAGTGGATCTAAGGACTTTGTTAACACTCTGTGCGCAATCTACTGCATCAGATGACCGTAGAACGGCTGATGAATTGCTGAAGCAGATTAGGGAGCACTCTTCTGCCGGAGGGGATGGATCGCAAAGGTTGGCCCATTATTTTGCTAATGCTCTCGAGGCCCGCTTGGCTGGAACTGGGTCACAGATCTATACCGCCCTCAGTTCCATGAAGACATCAGCTGCTGATATGTTAAAAGCATATCAGTTCTTCATTCGCACATGTCCGTTGAAGAAGATCTCTATTGGGTTTGCTAACCACACAATCATCAAAGCAGCTGAAAAAGCTTCAAAGCTTCACATCATAGATTTTGGCATCCTCTATGGTTTTCAATGGCCTGCTCTTATTCAAGGCCTGTCACATAGAGATGGTGGCCCCCCCAAACTGTGTATTACTGGGATTGACCTTCCCCAGCCTGGATTTCGTCCAGCCGAAAGAGTTGAGGCAACAGGACGTCGCTTGGCCAAGTATTGTGAACGGTTTAATGTGCCGTTTAAGTATCATGCAGTTGCACAAAAATGGGAAACAATTAGAGTTGAGGACTTGAAGATAGAAAGTGATGAGGTTGTCGCAGTTAACTGCCTATATCGGTTCAAGAACCTCCTTGATGAGACAATAGTGGTTGATAGTCCGAGGAGTGCAGTTCTGAACTTGGTGAGGAATGTAAAGCCTAATGTCTTTGTGCATGGTGTTGTGAACGGGTCCTACAATGCTCCTTTTTTTGTCACGCGTTTCAGAGAGGCTCTGTTTCATTTCTCCACCCTATTTGATATGTTTGATACCAATGCCTCCCGGGAGGATCCAGAGAGATTGATGTTTGAGAAGGAATTTTATGGCCGAGAGATCATGAATGTTGTGGCTTGTGAGGGCACAGAGAGAGTTGAAAGGCCAGAGACATACAAGCAGTGGCAGGCCAGGAATATCAGGGTGGGATTTAGGCAGATGCCGTTAGATCAGGAGCTCATCAACATGCTAAGGTGCAAGGTTAAGGGACATTATCACCGAGACTTTGTTATTGATGTTGATGGGCAGTGGACATTGCACGGATGGAAGGGGCGGATAACCCATGTCATCACTGCATGGGTTCCAGCCTAGGTCTTTTCAGAGCTTAATCCAGAACACCTCATGGATGAAAAACTACAGATGATACTTGGGTGTGGCTGCAAGTTGTCAGTGTTAAGAAGGCTTAGTTTAGTAGGAATGAGTTGGGTGTAGCTAATTCGCGGAAACTTGAAATTTTGCTGGTATCAGAAAAGCTCGACGTGATGACAACCAAGCATTGTGAACTTGCTGCAGCCCAATCAATCATATGACACTGCTCAACTCTGGGATGTAGATATCATAGATTCATAGCACGAACTTTGCAGATTATTTCTTTTTGTGAGCTTTCATATGTTAGATTTGTATTGTAATTTTAATACTAAATTGCTAGACCTTAGGTGTTGGTCTTGTTATTAGCTTTTAGAACAGGCGAAGTAGAGCAGTACTTGATTATGTTGTAATTTTTTGCTAGTAGCAAATACAGATAATTCGATCAATGAAGTATTGTATACTAATTTCGTACAACTTTGATTTAGTTCTTATGTTACTGGTTTCAGATTCTAATTTGGAAACTGGCTAAGGCTGAAAATAAAGATTTAGGGAAATTCCTAGAAATTGAATATTTGCTCGTCGTACTCAGAGCGTAGTGAGAATTACCAGTACTGCGAATTGAAAAAGAAAACATAAAAATCACGGAGTACGGGGCATTCCGAGAATTGAACTCGGGACCTCTCGCACCCTAAGCGAGAATCATACCACTAGACCAAATGCCCTTTTTAGGCTTATTTACGTGTCTGACGTAAATAGCAAATCAATCCATATTTGCATTCATACAGCTCTTAGATTGATACTGATATTTTTTTGGGAAAAGTAATCGGATATTAAGGCCTTATTTGGTGGTAGCATTTGAGGTAGCGGTTAGCGTTTTGACCAGTCAAAACACTACTAGAAAAAAAATATAAGAGTGTTTGACAAGTTAGTGGTGTGAGTAGCGATTAACGGTAGAGCTAACATTTAGGTAGCTTTTCACAAACGTTAAAAATAGTAGCGTTTGTTAATTTTTGATTACTTTTTCTAAACAATTTATATTATTATTAATATGTTTTAGTAATATAACCGTTACTTTTGCCAAACACCCATACTATCAACCGTTACTTTCACAGCTAATCTCTGTCCATTACTAATTGACAGCTAGTCGCTATCTTAACAGTTACCCGCTACTTGACCGCTAAAAGCTATCCGCTACCGTTAGTTTTGCCAAACAGGGCCTTAGGGAAAGTAATTGGATATTTAGATAATATCAAAATATATGACTTGAAGGGATAGTTAATGATTTGAAGATTAAGAATTTAGAAATTTTGATTTAATAAATTAATTTTCTTTGTCTTAAAAAAAAAAAAGGAATTTGGAATTTTTTGGAATTGTATATATTTTTTCTATATACTAGTTGTATGTACAAAGCACAAAAAATAAATAGATACGTTCTTCCAAAAAAAAAAATACTTCATCCGTTCCATAATAAAATTTCTGTTTTTCTATTTTAGAGATCTAAAATGTTGTTCCTGTTTCTAGTTTTGGATAGTATGTAAAGACCATTATGCCTCACTTTTTAAACTTTATTCATTTTACTTTCTAATTTGCACATGTCTTGTACTTTTTTCCATTTTCTTTCTCTAACTTTTGTCTATGATTGTACTTTTCACTTTTATTAATGTAGTTCATCCACTTTTTCCTCCTATTTTTTAAATACCGTGAAAAAACACAAATAGAAACTATATTATGGGACGGAGGGAGTAATTAAATAGATACGTGGTTTAAAAAAAAAAAAAAAAAATACGTGTCATCAAAAAGATTCAAAGTACAGTCAAAATATCCGTTCAAAAAAAAAAGTACAGTCAAAATATACGGTTTTTTTTTTTAAAAAAATAACTGTCAAACTGTTTCTCAGTTTCCCCATTGAAGCGCGACTTCACATCGAGGCGACTTGTGATATTTGTATCCTCCGTTGAAGCAGCTTCTGAGGTAAGATGTTTTTCTTTTTGTAATCATCGAATATCAATTTACAATCTAGGGTTTATTGTTAATTTTATTGTCAGTATGCTCAATTTAAATTCGATTATTGAATTATTGGTTATTATTACTAAGGTTATGATAGATTACAACGATCAGTATTGTTGCTAGAGAACCAAATTATGTGTCTTTTCGATATTAATCTCATAGCTCAATCAAATTTACCTTTGATGTTTGGATGAAACTATGAAATTGGACTTTTTTTCTTACCTAAAATTACACTTGTTTGATTTTTCGAGCCTAATTTGATAATGGAATTATTTACCTTTGATTTTTGGAAAGAACTGTGTAATTGGATCTATTTTTTTTACTTAAAATTATATGATTTTTTTTATCCTAATTTGATAAAGGAATTAAATTTACATATGATGTTTGAATGGAACTGTCTAATTGTACCTTTTTCGAGGCTAATTTGATAATGGAATTAAATTTAGATTTGATGTTTGGATGAAAGTACGAAATTGGAGCTTTTGCTGAGCTAAAATTACGTATGGCTGGTTGATATTCTATTTTCCCAAAGAAAACGAGATGGAGAACAGAGAAGATCGGGTAGCTTTAAGGTTATGTGAGAAGAGGATGTGCGTTGTGAGCAAGAATGAAAGCGTGGATCGGATCTCGTGGTTGCCGGAACTCGTTCTCCATGTGATACTTGATAAGCTTCCATTGAAAGATGCAGGTCGAAGTTCCGTATTTGGAAAAGTGTTTGCAGTTCTTACCCCATGGCCCCCTTTTGCTGAGCTCAATTTGGGTCTTTAAAGTCAAAATGACCCTTAAAACCTTTAACGACATAATTTTTCAGCACACAAATCGAGAAAAAATATTAAATAGTGCAAAGTGGGTTCCACTAACGGTATCCGTTAACGGTAGGATAACGACAAGGTTATAACATAGTCACTTAATGTACTTTGAGATTACAACATAGAAGTTCGAAAAGCGTGGGGCACAATTTGAAAAAGTGAATACCACATGGTTATTACGTAGAATAACCCTTTTTTTTTTTTTTGTTGAGAAAGTGGGGCAAGCCTCAATGTCCATCTAAATGATGGTCATGTGTCTTTCTTATTTTATTGTTCAATTGTTTTCAGTAAATCGAAACAGGTCCTAAGTTAAGTTTGAAAAGAGTCAAAGGGAGTATATTTTGACCTTTTTGAACAAACTAGTTAAGAAAAGGCGGAGAATCCTATTCTAAGTTAGCTTCCACGGTTTCTTCGGTTCCTCGTCCTTACACGGAGTATATATCCTCAATCCCATAAAATAACTCAAGGCTCGGCCGACCAATCTTCTTCCTCTTCCCAGAAAATCAAAGGCTAGGAATACCATTACAAATTCCTATTAAAAGAAATACACAAGTCAATATTTTTTATTATTCTTCCCCCATTAATCTGTAAGTTCACTACTCTTTAGTTATAGATTTTTTTTAAGGGTAAGGAAAATATTATTTGAAAACCCTAATTATAGATTGATATGGAGCAATATATTAAGGTATGTTCAGTTCACTTTATCTAAATTTATTCAGGTGTAATAAGTTCAATTTAATTTAATTAGATTTAATTAAAAAAAATAGGTTTTGATAAATGTTATCCAAATATAAATTACAACTTAAATAAGTTCAGTTAAACTCATGAAAATACGGATAAGATATGATAGGTTAAAATAAGATGAATAGTACACCCTAGTTTTCTAGTACTACTAGCAGTAATAATTTTTTTTTTTTTTAATTTAATTTGTTATAAGAAAGAATTATTTGGGAAGAATTTTTATTTTTTATTTGTTTTAATTGATTATTTAAACGATTAAGATTAAATGTTTAAAATAGATGGTTAAGAGTTAAACATTGTAACTTTTAGCAAAAGCTACTTTCACCACTAAAAGCTACTTTTACCACTACGTCATCGAACACACAAGTTTTTAATCATACAGTGTTTTGACCAAGTCAAAACATTAAAAGCTACACAAAAGGTACATAAACACTACTGCTGAACATTGCATGCCCTATATATATCCTTCGAATTTAATAGGATATGAAGAATTAAGGGTTGTTAAAAGTTGACAAAATAATTTCATTAGGCATGTTTGTCAACAAATGCTTATAAATGTTGAAATTTTTAATTACGTATGAGCAACAATTTAAAATTTTGATATTTGGAAAATAGACATTGAGACAAATCTATCAAGACTTCAACTAACTATATTTTTATCTAACACTAAATCACAAAACTAAAAAAACGGAGATAGTAGTAAACAGTGGAAGGTTTTTTTTTTTTTTTTTGTGCACCATATATGATTGGGTGAAGTTATTAAATATTTAGGGAATTGAAAGTAATTGGATAGATATTATTGAAATTTATGACTCGATGGGATAGTGAATTTGGAAATTTTTAGAGAGTAGTATGTATTCGAGTTGTTTCCCTCAATAATGTTGAAGAAAAAATAAATTCTTATTATCCACCGATTTGAAAACAAATTCTCAAAGTACCGTCCATACTCTGATCGACACATAGTTTTAGGCAATTTAATTGATAGCGGTTTTAATTTTTTTTTTTAAAATAAAGGCAAAGAGATTATTAGCGGTTTTAATTTTTTTTTTAAAATAAAGGCAAGAGACCTGTTGCTACTGAAATCTAGTCCTTTTGAACTTATCAATGTAAATGTTGGCGATGTCTTTCCGAATTTCGGCTAAGGAAGCAGTTAATCAATTAAGTGGCAAAGAGACCGCTTCTTAGTAAAATTACTAAAATACAATCTCTTTTTTGGAACTGCTTATCGTAATAGTGGTTTAAGCTGAACCAAAAGAAAAAAAAATAGCGCCTAACACCGATCTTACATGGACGACGTATGTGGGAAATTTGTTTTTAAACCAATGATTAAAGGGAGTTTATTTTTTATTTAACAATATTGTGGGAAATCGGTCTATTCATCCACATACATATTTTTAAAAAAAAAAATAAAAACTTTGAGAAAGAAAAAAAAATCTATATTTGTGCATTTTGGAGAAGCATAAAAAATTGTATATATCGCGTCGGTGGTTTAATTATCTAACCCACCGGCTCTAATATCATGTTAGATAATATAAACTCATCCTCGCCGCTTTGTCATTGTCTGATATTTGGACTTCACCATCAGCTGTTTCTTCTACTATTAAGACTCTTTCAGGAGAAGTAAACTTTTTTTTTATTTATTTAGGAAAATAGAGCAATTTCATTAATTAATGTCAAGTTGGGTTACATAGAGAGTTTAATAAGAGTGATTTTTCATTGATCAATATTAGATAACTAACAAGATATGTAAAAATATCATCATATATTCTAATTATATTAGATAACTAGAATATCATTAATCACTCTTCCTTAATAATAAGAGTGATTTTTCATTGATCAATATTTATAAGGTTATATCGAGAATTTAGAGTTCTAATTATATTAGATAACTAAAAAGATATGTAAAAATATCATCAT